CCTTGCCATGGCTAAGGGCAAATGGGTGGAGTTGCTCTAACGAGTTCTCAAGCAGGAAGTTCAACCAAAAAACAGGCTATGTGCGAACGACTAATGACATCTCAAGCAAGAAGTTCAACCAAAAAACAGGCTATGTGCGAACGACTCCTGATTAATCCTGATTAGTTCTCATCCGTCGACTTCCTTGAACCTCTCATCACATCACTGATGAAAGTCTGGGTGCCGACAGTGCCGACTCTACTAGGGATAAAAAGCCCGTAGTTTCCATGGCTATTTTCAAACGTCGACTTCCTTGAACCTCTCCATCTTCTCACCTCCTTTACAGAAAAAATCTCATAATTTTAAGTTTTTATTAATTTTTTCTCTTGCATGGGTTTATTACACATGCAAAGATATATAATTCAGCAGTTTGATACAAGGCATATGCATTGCGTTTAAAAATGAAGACGGCGCCAGGATCAAATCGGAATCTGGCCACTTCGCCGGATCAGAGCTTACTCCGGCGACCTCGCCGGTGGCGGCGCAGGTAATGGGTCGCCATTAACTAGTTGGTTTTGTTGTTAGGTCGCACACTTCAGCAGCCTCACCGGATAGTATGGAGCAGCCGACGAGGCAGCCATGAGATGATCAAGTTTTCTTTTACTTTTTCACTTCAGAATTTAAAAATATGACGTGGGACGATAATAAAACACAAGTAATTAATAGTAATTAAGGGGACAATTTCGTAAAAAGGAAGGGTCGACCTGTCTCACGTTGACCGCACCCTCTCTAGAGATCTTGCTTTTGTTTGATTATCCCTATCTACCGTATTTCAGCATATTCTTCTCCGGTGAGCGGTGATGGCTGCTGCTCTACTCTGCTCGTTGGTGGTGACAGAGAGTTCAATGTCAATGGATTTGAAAAGTTTACAAAATTCACAGAGTTCGCTAAAGTTGGACTTTCTTATCTTGTCGTCGCCATTATCGGCCCACAAAGTAGTGGTATGCATTCTTACTTACCTTCTAATCTTCATTTCTGACTTGGTTGAGGATTCACAAAAATATCACTCTGGTGAATAAGATGAAGCAAAGTTTTTGAAATTCTGCTACTGTTTTGAAGCTTAATCAGATGGAGCAGGGTTTACAAATTACGATATGTTTTTGGTCATTCTCTGTTTTCTTATCTGATATTGATATATGATTGATATATGACAACGTCTTTTTAATACTAATCATCTGTCCAGGAAAGAGCACACTACTAAACCATTTATTTCACACCAACTTTAAAGAGATGGACGCTTTTAGAGGAAGGCAAGTACTGTGCACAGTGATCAAAATTAAACTTTGTGTTGTGCTTTCTCTTAGTGATCATGAATATGATGGGATATGCTTTTATTCCAGGTCTCAAACAACAAAAGGTATTTGGGTGGCAAAATGTCCCATCATTGACCCTTTTACTCTTGTTATGGACATGGAGGGTACAGATGGGAAAGAACGAGGAGAGGTGCTTTTAGTTTTCATAATCAAATTTCAATTTATGGTCATGCTTGAATTTATTGTCATTACCAATTCTCTGGCCAACACACGAATCCATTGCTGGATGATCACTTTTTATTTCTTTGACTACTGCTCTTACTTGTAGCTTACAGATGATAGACATTTTACTCCTACTTAATCAAGAACAGAAATGAGAAATGAAAATGACCGATTTAAGGTCCTAGGACTGGAATCCGGATTTATTGATTGTTTCCAAGTTTTAAAAACAAAAAATGCACAACTCTATCAGGATTGCTTGTCATGGTTGCAATCTACTTAATTGGAATTTGGTTATTTATTTACAGGATACAGCATTCGAGAAGCAGACTACTCTTTTTGCCCTCGCTGTGGCAGATGTAGTGCTCATTAACATGTGGGGTTTTTCTTTTTCCCCTTCTTTATTGACTGTTTGGATTTGTAATATTTTCCCCTCTCTCTGTGAGTAATCTTCTTTAGCAATTTTTGTGTAGATGGTGCCATGACATTGGCCGTGAGCACGCTTCAAATAAGCCTCTCCTACACACTGTGTTCCAGGTATTTTCTTCCTCCCCACAAATATCAGAGGCTTGATTTCTTGAACTTTATGCTTGAATTTGTTCATAGGTGATGATGCGATTGTTTGGGCCTCATAAGACAACCCTGATCTTTGTCATCCGTGATAAGACAAAGGTTCCTTCTTCTCATTTAGTATTTCTCTGTGATTTGAGATGGAACCAATTTGTATTTGTCTTTGTTATTCATTTTGGTAGTCTGTTGCATCGTTTCCTTCATTGGTATAAGGCCATTCCACTCTAGGCTGAGTTTTTGATAGTGTAATTATTTTTTTTTTTTTGTAGACGCCACTGGAGAAGTTAGAAAGCCAACTTCGGAATGACATTCAGAAGGTTAACTAATTTGGTGCTTTATTTGTTGTTGCCTTACTTTTAGTGTTGTTGTTTGGTAACCCTGTCTCTCCTTTACTGCAGATATGGGAGTCTGCTCATAAGCCTGAAGCCCACAAGGAAACTCCACTGAGTGAATTTTTCAATGTAAGATGTCATGCTTATATGACAGATAAGATTTCATGTTTATTTGATATTACTGTGGTGAAAACTATCAATCATGCGTATTGATTGACAATGTGTTATATTTATGACTAAATGGCTAGGTTGAGGTTGTTGCGCTTTCAAATTACGAAGACAAAGAAGACACATTTAAAGCGGAGGTATGCATATGTGCTATGAGGGCACCATGCAGATTTTCTTTCTTTTCTTTGGGCCTTGGACACCATGTCAAATTGAATATCTCATCTTTTTTGTTCATGGAATACGAATAAGTTATCTTGATACATAAAAAGGACCATACAAGATTTTTCTTAAAAGAAAACGAAGAAAATAACTAGGCAGGTGTTGCAGGGTTTCTCAAATGTTGCTGCATATTTTATTTCATTAACACTTTGTCGACTGCCTTAAAAAATGTTTCTGTTCTCTGTCATTTGCCCCTTGCCATCTCCTCTCTCATCATTTGTTGCATTCCAGTTTCTGCCTCAAGAAACCAATTGTCCCATTTCTATTTTTTATACTAAAATGCCTCCTAGTGTTGAAATTTATGCATCTTGTGCAGGTTTGCCCTTTTTTGTGTCAAATTTATGTAACTTATGTTTTTGAATGAAAGGTTGCTTGCATGAGGCAGAAATTCTTCCATCATAATAAACTTGCTGGAGATCGACAGGCGGTAGTTCCCGCTTCAGGATTTTCTTTGAGTTTACGGGAAATTTGGGAAAAAATAAAAAAAGACAGAGATCTTGATATTCCTTCCATCAAGGTAAAACTGTGAATACAATTGTTTTTTGGACGAAAACTGTGAATATGATATATGTATGTAAATTTGAACAAGTCATCCATAACTCCTCCATTGCAGGTCATGGTGGCTACTGTACGTTGTGAAGAGATTGCAAATGAGAAGTATTCTGCTTTTGCAGCAAATGAGGTACCTGTTTTTCATATGTTGCCATATTTTCCATCTTCTTCAATTCTAGTTGGATGGCCTTGAATTGCTTTGGAATTATCACAGGAGTGGATTCAGTTGAAAGTGATCTCAGTTCATCCTGGTGGCTTTGGAAATAAGCTGAGTTCAATGATTGATACTTGTATATCGGAGTACGTATCTTTCACTTATTTCTCAGCTTGTTGTAGGCTACAGGATAAGATTATATTTCTCACCTTTTGCGTTATGTGGTTGAATAGTTCTTTATATTTAGTTTAATTCGTTTTTACAATTCTAGGTATGATGAAGAGGCTACACATTATGATGAAGGTGCTTGAAATTACACCAACAATCTCGACATCATTCTTGTCGAACCATATATTACACATTGTTTTCCTTCCCCTCCTCTTTCCTCGTGCTATAGATGGCTGAAATATAGTAATGCAATAGAGACTTAACGGTTTTGGACTTACAGAAAATTGTGCCTCACAGACCAAATTGTGTTTGTTATTCCTTTGATTGTGGTTGATACAATTTCTGTCATGACTCATGCTCTAATCTGCCATGCATGTCGATCAGGGATGTACACATTTTACAGTGAGGTGGCCTTTCAAGGCCTTCCGAGTGCATCACAGTAGTTGAACTGATTTGACATAAATTATCCTCTCTTTTTAAGCTTCCAATTTTGATTATCAATTCGATTTACATATCTTTCTTCTGTTAAGGATTGGTTTCGCTGTCTTATTAGCTTGTTCAACCTGCATTCGAAGATCAGCTGGAACTTAAAAGTTCTTCTACTCTGGATAAGTTCAAGGAAGCATTTGATAAGTCCTTGAACGGGGTCATCAAGGGATTTTCTGTGACTGCTCGTAATTTCACCGAGTCTTTTATGGCTCAATTTGACGAAGACTGTGCAGGTATGTTTTGAGAATGGCATTCCCTTAGCCAAAATTGGAAACTTGAGGATAAAATGCAAAAACTGAAATGCATAATAAAAGAAACACTTCAAAACCATGAAGCCAAGATAGATAAGTCACAAGACAAATTGAACTTTATCCTTGTACGCTCAACACATCTTACGCACAAGCTGACTTCCTGCCAATTAGTCAATTATGGATCAAGAGATAATAGCGTAATACTTAATATGTTATAAAACCAAATACAATAACCTTCCTGTTAGTCTGTATGCTCCATCTCCCATGTTGTGCTACTTGCATGATGAATTACTCACATCTTGGACAGAAAGTTATTCATCATGTATTTGCTTGTAGCACAAGTTTGATCTTGAATCTTTGAGTGCATAGATCTTGCAATGTATTAAGTTGCTTTGGCTCACTTAATAATACGCTGCAAGATGTTTGCAAACAACGATCATGTATCTTTCTTGCAACAACAAAATAATAGCTTCATACTATTGCCGTGCCAAAATTTTCCTGCAAACATTATCAAGCTTTCAGTTTTACAAGCTTTTAACTGTTGCTCCAACGAAAACCTGGTTAGGTAGGAATACCACATGTAATAGTTGATGAGTTATAAAACCAAACACACTAACCTTGTTCAGCCATAGAGTCGAATAGAGTGCACGAGAGAAATAGAGAGATCTTCTCCTAGAACCGATGCCTTATGCTCTGTATAAGCTTGTATAAGCTAGAATATCACCTCAGTGAGTTTAAGACATTAAACAATCTTACAAATAGGCCTTTTGAATTTGCGTCATTAATATACGTTTTACTTGCTCTGTATATTACAATGAGATAACACATTATTTATGCAGATGTTATCAAACAAGCGAACTGGGACACATCTAAAGTAAGGGATAAACTTAGACGTGATATAGAAGCCCATGTTGCTTCAGTTCATGCTGACAAGATAAAGGACCGTTGTGAGGTATAATAGCATATTTTTGTTCATTCTCTCTTCTGAAATAGTTGGGGTTACTGGTTTTCATCAACCCGAGCCAGAATTCGACTCCAAAAGAAAGTAAAAGTTGAGCTACTACTTTGATAAGTTAATTTTGTTAAGGACATTGATTGCTTTCGTTGTAACAGATTCCATGTAGTGTCTATTGTTGACAAAGTTGTCATAGGAACTTGGTTGATGATGATGTAACTATAAAATGCAGGTGAAGTTGAGGGAGCTGTTATCAGGACCGGTGGAAGTCCTTTTGAAGCAAGCTGATAATACGACCTGGCCCACAATAAGAATACTTCTTCAAGAGGCTAAATCAGCTTTCTCTGGGAGCGCTGCTGCAATTTCTGGTGTTGACATGGATGAACAAACCAAAGCCAAAATAGATGCAAGTCTAGAGAAATATGTAAGACGTATGGTTGAAGATAAAGCAAAGGAAGAGGCTGGAATGGTCCTCATGCACATGAAGGAGAGGTAGAGAATTCTCTCTCACAATGGTTTGAACGTTATTTCAGATTATATTGTATGCAATTGATATTTGAATTGCCTTTACAGGTTTAAAACAGAATTTAGCGACGATTCTAATTCAATCCAACGTGTTTGGAACCGGCGGGAAAATATTGGAGCGATTGCCAGAACTGCTCATTCTTCAGTATGGCTCAATTTTTATTAATTATGTGTAGTTACATATATTGACAGTTCTTGAGAGTTTAAATTTGAACTGAAGCTTTGTTAACTATATATTCATATTCTGTAATTTTTTCAGTCCCTAGAAGTGCTTTCTGTTATGGCTGTGATCCGTTTGGATGATGATAATGATGGTGATAAAGTACAGCCTACTTTATGCAGTGCCTTACTGGATAAAGATATGAGTACCACAACATATGACCCACTGGCTTCAAATACTTGGGAAGAGGTGACCCTTTCTTTTTCTTTTTTCTTTTTGGCTTGATTTAAAGATAGATCTCTCAACAACACAAAAAAAAACATGGATACTGATATTTATTTATTAATATGTTCAATTTTATCCAATTTTATTTTTATCATTATTATTTATACAAATAATATTCTACTTTAATCTAAATTATGGGGAGACGGTTTCGAACTTGGGTGCAGAGTGAAGAACACATCCGATCTAACCAACTTGGCTAAGCCCATATCTGCATATCCAATCTTAATTTATTAATATTCAAAGATATTGCATACTAGATTAAGAAGAAAAATGTTTACAAATAAGATTGAGAGGGCTGGAGCAGGCTGGGCCGCATTGGGGTTGAGTTTAAACACTTGACCTAATCCTTACTCCATGCAAGGCCAGCTCTGCCATGGCTATAATATAGGCCGAAATGGACTTTGACCCATTGAATTTGGGCCGGCCCTCAAGCTCTCTCTCTCTCTCTCTCTCTCTCGCGTAAGACCATATATAAGGTTTTCTGACTTTCCCCTTCCTATACAGGTTCCACCATCAAAAACATTGATCATACCTCTTAAATGCAAAGAGTTGTGGGAGGAATTCAAGGAAAACACCAAGCACATTGTTTCGAAGGCCATAGCTGAACAGGTATGATATCTCACCTATTAATAAATGGAAACTATATGTGAACTATAAATAGTTTTGTTTTGTCTCCCATAATGTGTTATTTGATCACCTGCTGTTATGGAACTATGGTTAGAGTCTCTTTCAGGTTTTCTTTAGGTTTAGATGAACTTACTCATGAATGATGCGTTTCATCAGCTTAAAAATCTCTCTGAATTTAACTTACTCACACTCATACCTAGTCCATTAATTCAACATGCTGTTTTACTTTTCAGGAGGCCAACGCGCGTTTTCAACTACCTCCTTGGGCAACTTGCTGTTTGATTGTCGTGGGATGGAATGCCATTAGGAGACTAATAAGGTACACACTAGTTCCCCTACACTACACAGGAGGATATGGATGATGTTCTTTCTACCATATATATATAATTTTATATATCTAGTACAAGTTCCTCTACCATGTTCAAATTTATTCCTCCATGGATGCAGAAATCCTTTGTATCTTGGGTGTGGGTGTCATCCTTGTTGCTTTTTTACTCGTCACGCCCCTATTGTGCTGGTTTGCCACTAGGGATCTCTGGTGGGTTCTGTGAGTGAGTGTCACATTTTGTTTTAATTATTGTCTCACTCTCCCTACTCCTTCCTTCCTTAGTACTATACGTATAGACACTGGTACTCCTTGTATAGCATGCTTTTCGCCTCCACTGCTAGTGATTTTAACACTCCTCCTTGTTTCACCTCGTGCACTCAGGTGAGTGTAGAAAGAAAAAAAATTATTTAGTTTGGAGTGCAACTGGCTAAAACAGGAGTGCCAAAATTACTGGTTTGTGGGGATTCTGGAATAGGTCTAGTTACATACTGAGTCGTTAACTTACTCATTCATAATAATAGATTTGTTATGATTTCAGGTGAGGGTAAAGAGTGAGAACACAACTATATAGTGGGCTTGGCGGTATGCTCTTGGAGAAATGGTTGCAGCGCCCCGATAGACTTTATTTGAATCAACCAACAAAAACTAAAAACTAAAAAAATATTTAAGTGACCTCAATACCACTGGTTTTGAATACTAGATTGGAATTGTTGTACTGTTGTATTATTAATTATGAATTTTGTTTTGTACTGTAACAAGGGACAAGTATATGTGTCGTATTGTAATTTTGAATTTTATTTTGTATTGTTATTTCTTGTTCTGAATTGAAGACTACAACTATTAGCTATCATAATAAACTTATTTATTTTAGTTTCTGTAACGATTTCTTGCAACTTAAATTTAATCTATGTTAAATTGCAATTTTTTTAGTTAGTTTTAGAAATAATATTTTCGACAAATTTTGTCTTATGGTACCTGCTTCTTTTTTTCTTTTTCGTTTTGGTATATCAAAACTAACTTGCTTCTCTTTCATGTGTATGTAAGAAGAGGTGCAATTTAGGGAATGTGTATGTAAGAAGTTGTTTATACAAAAATGTGGAAAATCCTGCAAGGTTTAAGTTCATTCCAACAGCAGCTGCTTGTTTGGCTAATGAGTCAGGCACACTGTTTAGTTTTCTGTTGCAAAAGTTATTAAAAGAATGCAGGTTTGTTTGTGTTTGGTGAGGTTTTAGCCAGTTACTTGCAGAATTCATATACACAGGCGTTTCCTTCTGAGGTCTTTTGGTCCTTGGCAAAACCAGGTGACCAATAGTAAGCAATCTGAATAAATAATGAGATGATGTATGCCCAGATTTACGGCTCCATACAGAAAGGCCTTGTCCTGACTAGTTATAAGCTTTGCAACACATTGTTTGTCGCATTCTCAATCTGCATAACAAAACCTACCCCTGCACACTCATAGCCCTTTCCTTATCATGAGTTTAGATATGACTGGTGGCTAGCTGGGTGTCCTTGTTTATTTTAGTAAATTATTGAGGAAGGACTTTGGTCATAAAATAAGAAGAACCACAATCTTTTATTGTAAAAATGTTCACGCAATTTTCTTGTGGTGGTGGACTAGACCACACCAACTATATGTTTTTCCTCCATACAATTTTCTTTTTTCTCATCACTAACTCTTCTTAAGTGCAGTGGCCCATTTCTTCAGAATTCTATAAAGTCTATACATCTATGTGGGAGGTTCTTCCAGATCATACATTTAATTGCAGGGACCAGCCCTTTCCATTGTTCACACATGCAAGCCTTAAGAAGGGTCTCTCTTTTACCAAAAAAAAAAAAAGACAAAAAAAAAAAAAAAAAAGGGTCTCTCTATAACTCTCTGCCTCTCGGTCAAATTGATGTTCACAAACTCTTGACGCAAACTTAGGTTTTGCTCATTGAATGCAAATGAGACGGATGCTCATGGAACCGTTCAAACATTCAATGAAAAATTTATGGAGAGTGATAGGTTGAGGGAACAGGTGCCTCCTTCGAAACAAGGACACTTAAAAATTGTTGTTAGTTGCTTTTTTTTTCTTTCTTTATGTGTTTCAATCTTGGTTGATATACATGCTAGCTGGTATGCTGCTGACAAAGGCTTGTTGATACCAGAAGCAAAGACATTAACTCCAACAATTATGACTCTTTTATCCCTATGTTACCATGGTTATATGGATGAATGATATCTTGTTAGGTATCTGGTATTGATTTTGTTGGACTGGGCGCATTCAAACATACGCTTAAATAATCAACTAGCTTTTGGTCCAGTGGTACCTTTCTTTCCAATAATGAAAGAGGTCCAAAGTTAGAATCTCTTTGATAGAAAAAAATATAAAAAAAACCAGGAACGTACGCCTTATACGGTCTCAAAATATAGTATGTTCGACTATCGGATAATGTCGCATGTTAGATTGCCTCACAAGAAGTAAAGAAAACTACTTTTATATAATTTATGAGAAAGGGTAAGAGCTGTAGCCTATTCTGTTTAGAGTACATTTTTTAGGTGTTCTTTTTGGCAAAAAGTCTGGGAAGAGAGTTCTCAAGAAGATTCCAGTGTAGTTGTTTATAGAAAAATATGGAGGATCTTCAAATTTTAAGTCCATTCCAACACCAGCACAGCTGTTTGTTTGGCTAACGTGTCAGACACTGTTTGCTTGTCTGTTGCAAAAGTTTTTAAGACACTGGTTTGTGTTTGGTGAGGTTTTAGCTAGTTGCTTGCAGACTGCATATACATAGGCATTTCATTCTGAGGCCTTTTGGTCCTCCTCTGCAAACCAGGAGAACAATTGTAAGGAATCTGAGTAAAAAATGAGATGAAAATGTGCATAACAAAACCTGCACATGAGATGAAAAATCATAAGTGGGGATTGAGAGGCATTGGAGGATTCGAGCCGGGTACCTCTTGCAACTAGAGTTCGATATGATGTTAGACAATCATTAGACCCTTATAAACTTGACTTCTTAGAAAATGAGCAATGTATATCAAGTTAAAACCGTCATAAAAAAGGAATGAAAAGATGTTGGGAAATGCTGTTATTTCTTGCAGATCAAACATTTAATTGCAGGGGACGCCAGCCCATATTGTTCACAGGGCATGCAAGCCTCACAATCTTATTTCATTGAGAAATCTCTAACTCTGTGCCTTTTGGCCATATCGATGTTCACTCATTTTTAAGGCAAACTTGGCTTGTCATCATTGAATGCGAATGATACGAATTCTCATGGACCGTTCCAACAGTCAATGAAGAATTTAAGGGGAGTGAGGTCAAGGTTGTGAGGGAACAGGTGCCTCCTTAGAACAAGGACACTTAAGAAAATTGTTGTTAGGTTGGTTCTTTGCGTGTTTCAATCTTGGTTGATAATATGCTAGCTGGTTTGTTGATACCAGAAGCTGAGACATTACCTCCAAAAATTATTACTTTTATCTGTCTTGCATTGGTTGTATGAGAGAAAAGATTAACCAAAATTAATTTTGTATAGACTCATAAAAATTAGGAATGGCCTCTGGTTAGATATATCTGGTATTGTTATATTGTCGGACTGTGAATCATGACAGCACATTCATATATACACTTAACCTAGTTAACAAATTTGATTCACAGTTTGAAAACATAATATGTTCGACTATATAATGTAACATGCTGTATTTCTCACAAGTAGAAAACTACTCTCTTTCAAATATTATATAAATTTTCTTTATTATGAGGTAAGGTAAGAAGCTGTCCTGTATCATATTATGTTTAGAGTTCATTTTTAGGTGTTTTTTCTGGCAATAATCTGGGAACAGAGTCCTTTTTGAAAGATTCCGGTGTAGTTGTTTATACAAAAATGTGAAGGATCCTGAAAGCTTTAGTTCATTCCAACACCAGCAGTTGCTTGTTTTGCTAATGTGTCAGACACAATGTTGGCTTGTCTGTTGCAAAAGTTTTTAAAAGACTGTTGGTTAATAACTTAATAGTAACTTTGTTAGACTAGCTAGCTATTAGGAAATGATCCAACACTGCATAATGCATCAAACTGGGTCTTGTTAGTGAAGAAATGGAAATGTGTAAACAGAAAAAGAAGTAGGCAACGATCGAGGATTCGAGGTTTTGAGTCTAGAACCTCCTTCAACTAAAGTTCGATACCATGTTGTACAATCATTAAATACTTAAATTTTTTTTTGAAAACTTGGGTTTTAAGGAAATGAACAATCCTGTATATCAAGTGAAACACCGCAGTAAAAAAGGAGTGGAAGGGCAATGCTGTTATTTCCTGAGTTCATGCAAGTTAATTTTTTTCAACAATAACCTTATCTTGCTGAAATTAGAAATTGACTAGACGAAGACAAGGTGTAATTAGATCTTGGGATTGATGAAGGGAAATAGTACGCTTCCTAGAATGATCATTTATAGTGTACTTCAGAGGTATAGTTGATTCTTTGAACAAGAACTACCTACTTCTTCAAGTTGCTTCTGCTAGCGGCAGTTTTTTTTCTTCTTTTCTCTATTTCCATGAACTTCTTTCCATTCCTCTAATGTTTGCATCTCTCACAAATGTTAGACAACCCGCTAGCTCCAAAAATATGGGATGAGCCAACAATATATATCAAGTTAACGTGGAGCGGCAGATCAACAGAGAGAGACAACATATAGGTGTAGCTCCACCTTGCTACACCTCAAAAACCAGCACTTAAAACTGTTAGAGTTTGTATAGGAAAATACACTTGCATGTAGTCCCACATTGGAAGAGAGTAGTTTTCTTCCATAGTTTATAAGCACCAACACATTAGAATTACTAAATAGAGTATGAGCCTAGTGGAGGCAAACTTGAGCCTCAACATGGTTTGAGCTTGGATTATATATATATTTGTGTGTAATAAATATATATATAATTAATTGTCAAAAGATGGGCCTTGGGGGCTCTTGGGCTCTGTTGATTTAATTAATAATTTATTTTTTATTAATTGAAAAAATTCGGTTTTTTCAGATAAAACCAAAATCTGAAATTCGAATTAATTAAAACAGTTAACATAACTGTTGGATGAAGAGGTGTCAGACCTCTATATAATGACAATACGATCAAACCAGAAAGACACCTTTGAACTGCATCATCATTCTCACATTTTACACTTCCTGAGAGAATTCATACCACTGTTCGCCAGAAATCAAGCCACTGTGCTTAGGCTTAGATTTAAGATAGTTTAATCCTGGTGGACAGACTCCTATCGAACTACAAGCACAAGGGTAGAGGAGAAATACTGTCTAAAGGACACTGCAAATTTGCAGGACTCTATCTACAATTCAAGTCAGTATTCTACAATCTATATTATTGTTGTATTGATTCAATTATATCTATATAAAATATATTCGTTGGTTTTTATTATTCTGTTATTTTGGTTTTATATTGATTGTTTACCAACAAAAACTTGGAATGGGGATTAAAGAGAAGAAGGTTATAATACAAAATATTGTTAGACAACCCCTAGCACTTTATTAAGAAGGCTCCAAGTAATAAATCACATTTATATAATCATGCAACATGTGGATGAAATTTGAAAACCAATGCTTGTGTCCGACTCGATTAGGTGAGAATTTGGTCCAGCAATGCACATAACCAAGACCTTCAATTCCATGCATCTTTTTGAAAAAGGCTGGTTGAAATTAAATTTGACAGTTCTTCCTTGGGAGGAGAGAGAGAGAAGAGAGCTGAGGCCCTCCTTACCAAGACACGTCAAAACCATGGTTGGTATTAGGAGCTGCTTTGTCTCTTAATTAAACGTGCTTTTGCCTGTGCTAAATCATGGTTGGTATCAATTTTGGATATTAATTTGAAGGACATTTCTATGAACTATCATATATT